GGACACAACCAGCTGTGTCATGAAACTTTTCTTCGGTGTCTCTCTGCTGTAATGGTCATACAGAACACAACCAACTGTGTCATGAAGCTCATTTTCAGTGTCTCTCTGCTGTAATGGTCATACAGACACAACCAACTGTGTCATGAAACTCGTCTTCAGTGTGTCTCTGCTGTAATGCTCATACAGGACACAACCAACTGTGTCATGATACTCATCTTCAATGTCCCTTACATGGACATTGATCATTTGGCGATGAATGTGAAGTACAAAACACAAAAATCTGGAGGTTGTAAACAAATATTCCACACCTGTGTTCACGGAAAAAGAAAATCCATCATTTGATCTTTCTTCTCAATGTAACATAATGCCAAACTAAGAATCTTACCAATATAGTTCGATGAAACCAGTTTTAATTTGTAACTTAGAACATCATGTGACTTGATTTTCATGTTGAAATATGCCATTAGGTTAAAAGTATCCAATGTGTGACAAGGGACAGTGCAATATGTAGCATTTGCAATCTTCATTTAAAAACAAAATAGTAACTAGAGTGAAATATTCATTTAAAGTTTACAGGTAAGTTTGTATTATGTTACATTGGAAGAGAAAATAAATATATATATTCTTTTGTCATGAAGATGAGAGTGAAATGTTAGTTTATAGTTTCTAGGTTTTGAACTCGTACCTCTCAAAAGCTATGGTAGTCTTCATAAATGTGGAATGGTCTAAGAGCAATGAATAAGAAACAAGAAAAAATTATCTGGTAATTTCTGGTTAATGACACAGTGTTGTAATGTGAAACAGAAACAAACTTCTCCATAAGAAGTGATAGAAACAGATAGTGGATGAAGCAAATATCTAGTTTTATGTTTTATAAGTAAACTCGTTATCTTAGTTTCATATAAAACTAGTGAAAAGAAGGAAAAAAAAACATAGTGTTGTTAGATAGACAACCACCTTGAGTATCAAGAAGGTAACAAAACATAGTGTTGTCAGATAGAGAAACAGCTTGGGTATCAAGAAGGTAACAAAACATAGTGTTGTTAGATAGACAACCACCTTGGGTATCAAGAAGGTAACAAAACATAGTGTTGTCAGATAGAGAAACAGCTTGGGTATCAAGAAGGTAACAAAACATAGTGTTATTAGATAGACAACCAGCTTGAGTATCAAGAAGGTAACAAACATAGTGTTGTTAGATAGACAACCACCTTGGGTATCAAGAAGGTAACAAAACATAATGTTGTTAGATAGACAACCACCTTGGGTATCAAGAAGGTAACAAAACAT